TTCTGTCAAGTTATTTTGCACGGGCCGTCAACATGTGGCCTTCATGTGTGTGTATGAAGCCTTCCTCTACCTCACTATAGTAAGTGTTTTTGTACAGTAAACACTAGATTGAGGAGTCTGACTTATAGTGACCGCCTGCCTGGCTGTGGTGTCTGATAGCTGAGTACGGAGAGTTGTTTTGGTGCCAATATTTGTAGTGTTCCATATATCGACTATCGAGAACGATGTATATCTGAGAGTGTTGTGTTTGATGGAGGGCGCCTCACCCACCTGTCCACAACACCTCACTGGACAAATATCACTAACGTTGTATTTTGTTTTGGTCATAAGGACTGTAGAGCTTGTAGGATCTTATAAACACCGAGAGTCAATGGTTGTATGTTGGTTAATACACTAAAGTTATAAAGAAGCAACCACGTCTCTGTAGTAAAGATACAACAATAATGTATTGTAAAGTAAACGTGGTTATTACCAGTACTGACAGCACACAACAATAACTGTATTCCCAAAACTTCTTGTGAAGACGACCACGAAAGTGGTTACAAATCCCTCCCCTCCCCCCCAACACACACACACACACACACACACACCGGAGGGCCACAATAACAACAGTAGTACAGGTGTAGCGCCAGGTGTTATCACGTCAGGTGACTCACTACCTCTACATTAATTACCTCACTGGTAACTTACGCTGTTGGCTCAAAAACAATTTGTGTTGCCCGTAAGTGTTGGCGACCGTTTGTTGAAGTGCCTTGTTTGATGACGTTAATGAGTGACTCTCGTGTGTCTGTAAGTGTCGGCGACCGTTTGTTGAAGTGCCTTGTTTGATGACGTTAATGAGTGACTCTCGTGTGTCTGTAAGTGTCGGCGACCGTTTGTTGAAGTGCCTTGTTTGATGACGTTAATGAGTGACTCTCGTGTCTATGTTAGCATTTCAACATTTCTCCGTAAAATGATGATGGCATCTCTCATTTACCTGTTCACATCAGCTTAATTGAGTAGCATCAATAGACACATTTATGTCTTCTTTACTCGTAACCATTTATGATGAAGACTTTTGTTCTGGGATGTAACGTTTGTAAGAGTCATCCCGCCATAAATACCTACAACACATAAACAATTTATATTTAGTTTATAATACTGATCAAATTCACGTCTTAATCACTAAATTCCTCTCGAAGGTTGATCATTCTTTTTACATCTAAAGATTTAATCCTTCCTATAATAATAATAATAATAATAATAATAATAATAATAATAATAATAATAATAATAATAATAATAATAATAACAATAATAATAATAATAATAATAATAATAATAATAATAATAATAATAATAATCTCCTTTTAGCAACAGATATCGCCACAATTCACTGTACAGAAGTAAGATCAAATTTTATTCCAAAACTGTTAAAGTAATATCCCGCAGGCGGTGCTTGGCGGGGCAGTGTCGTATACTGTACGAGAGGACTGCGAGCACCTCCAGAAATGACCCTCTTCCCCCCTTTTCCTCCCTTCCTCCCCCTTTTCCCCCTCCCCTTCTCTTGTTAAAACTACCATTTTATTTTTCGGTTGAAAATAAAGAATCATTGGTATAATTTATATTCTTTAATTCTTATGTTTCTTCCAAAAATTTGGCATTGGAAATTAATCCCTTTGAGCTTTGTTCTTCGTCTTCATGAGTCTCAAGATATAGTGTACACACACTCATACAAGTATCTTAAACATTTCGTGTGAGACAAACACAAGGGATGAATCACCTTGACAACCCTACCGAGACAACAGGAGTCACGGTGTTCATTTGGAAATTCATCGGACTGCTCCGTAAAGATACTTTTTGGAGTGTGTGTATCTCGGGAGGTCCATGAAGAGCTCCTGACCCAAATCATGGCCTTCCTCGTGTCTTCCTTGTTCCTTGTCCTACCGCTGTCTGATTCAAATTAAATTGAGGATTCAGAGCCTTTGAAGCTCCTTTTGACAATTTCCACCTGAACTGTGGAGTTAGGAAGCATGGCTGTGAGGAACTTATTATCCTAAAACCTTCTGGTAAAAATAATAATAATAATTAGTGACACCTGAGTTCCTTAGTGCTGTAACAGTGTGTCTGAACAAACATAAATATTTTGTCTTCATAATCTTATAACATACTCGTACCTATGACAGCTTCAGGTCACTGTATTAATTGTTATACAGTAATACCGACTGACCATATTAGTCACTAACTGATGATAGATTCCAACAAAATAGATCACATCAGCGTGTTGTTGTGATCAAAGTAGTAGCGGTTTATCTCAAGTGATGGAGGGTGGCCGGCCGGGAGTCCATCTCGTCCAGCTGTTTGTGTATGGTATGGAGTTGCCGCCAACACAACGAGGTGAGAGAGGGAGGGACAACAACAAAAACCTCACTATTCACACTCGCCAGCCTTTAGCCCTATGATAATAGATTGATATTCCTCACTAAGTTTTATCAAAACTGGTAAATATAATAATAAACTCAATGGCCCATACTGGCTGTTAACACACCTAGTTCTGTGATCTATTAAAACAAAGGTTTACTTCTCTCCATACCTAACAAACAACCAGCTTTATCAAAATACTTTAACTCAATATGTTTTCCTTTAACAAAACATCCTTAAAACGCGAAAATAACAGATATATTACGACTATATTTGGCATAATCGACGGTGCCATATTGACCCACATACGCCGAGATATTGCAAGGCAACATTAATGACGTGAATATAACACACAGTCATATCTACAAGAGCCTCAATATATATTCTGACCCAGGAACGTCAAGCAGAGGTGATCCAGACCATAGAACAGATATTGGAGATGATTAGAATTGGTTAAGGAAGGCAGATTGGTGCTGAGGTGAATGTTGTACAGTACATATCCGTGGATCCGTTTTCTTTTGGGGAGTAAATATTACGCGTTGAGAAAATAGGTAAACCTACAGTGATTTACTTGCATTATGATAGTGTATAATGTATCATAGTATCTTTGTATTTGTTGTTCTACAGTATATACAGATGTTCTTCAGTCTACAATTATTCACTTTTATTTGGAGACGTCTGTAATGATAAGCTTAGCAACAGGAAAACAATTAGACCATTTAGTTAGGTGATAAAATTGGTCCTGCATACAAATATAATTGTTTCGTTTTATGTTCATGAATATCAATCATATTTGCGCTGTTTCTTACGATTTTCTTAACTCCTAGAATGGGGAAGCTCTTGTGAATTATATAAGTTTTTATGTAAATTCAACCACAAATAAACAGCCAGAAATGTGTCAGTGTACTAAGTGATGCAGTCAATGTATAATTTGTATCAGAAAGATAAACATTCAAAATATTTATTCACTGACAATTGACGTCTGATATTATCGGAAATATAACGCGGATTTCTTATGTATTGATTTATCTAATTCTGAAATGTTACTGAAAACTTAAGTGAATGGAAAGATTTCAAAAGTGATATGAATTAGCGTCAAACATTTTCACTAATAATTACTGTACTCGCTGTCATGACAAACGGATGAACTTAACTGTCTAATTTACATGTCATTATTATTTTCCATGGCACTACAAACAATATTTTTGGTGTTTGATAAAGAACTGTACTTAGAGGAAGATGACTGTAACATAGTGTTGGTATACTGTGTATGTCTCTGTATACCAAAGGTCCTCTAATACTGTTGGTGGCGGCCATAACCGAGCACGTCGCTGGCCACACAACCAAACATATTTAAACAAATAAAAACAAGAATATTTTTGTATAAAGATATACTCATCCCGCTAACTTTCTTCTGTCAAGCAGTTAGGATCGTTAAGCTTGAGTATTACAGTAACAGTTAAATATAAAGTTGATAGTGAACAGTCAACACGTCACGTCACTATCTGGCCAAATTATTGATCACTTTAAGTTAACAGAGAAACAGTCGAGGACAATAACTCCTAAAACAGTTGTGGATGATGAGCTGCATCATTATGAGCTGCTTCATTATGAGCTGCATCATTATGAGCTGCATCATATGAGCTGCATCATTATGAGCTGCATCATTATGAGCTGCATCATAGAGCTGCATCATTATGAGCTGCATCATATGAGCTGCATCATTATGAGCTGCATCATAGAGCTGCATCATTATGAGCTGCATCATATGAGCTGCATCAACCTTATTTTTCACATAAACACTAAAATAAACTGGACTTAGTAATGGTACACAGTGATTTACATCGTAATATTATACTGGAGATAAACCGTAAGTTATGACGAGATGTTAACACGATCTTCAAACAGAGACGCGTCCATTTGGAGGGTTGTGGGGACCCACCTTCATATACTGTACATTTTACACCATTAAAAAATGAGATCAGTGGACAACTATCTGAAGCGTTGACAGCGGGGCTGCACACAGCTACACCGCCTTTTCTCCAAGTACATCAACAGATCTCTGTCTTGTTAGTATTAAGAGTTACATTTAAGCCTACCTTAACCTGATCCACCCCAAAACCCACCATAACCTATTTCACCCAAACCGAATCCATACTAATCTAACCAACCCTAAACCAACTAATAACCAACCCTAACCTAATCTTTATCATGTCCCACGCTACCTAAACTAACCTTCCATCCTAACTCTAACCTAAGTTAACTTACGTTAAACCTGATAAAGTTTTCGATGTTTTTAGCAGATTTGAAAAAGAAGATGAAGCAGTTTGTTAGCCAAGTTTACTGTATCAACAAAACATACGAAAAATCTCAACCACACACACAATTTATAGTGTATGATAATCTATTAGGCTTGTGTACACACTGGCGGAGCAACGATTTACTAATGGGGGCACTCATCAGCTGGAGGGCACGTCCAGCTGGCTGGGAGGGGGCACTCTGTCAGCCGAGGGGGGCAGGGGGCGGGAAGCACTGTCAGCGGAAAGCACTGTCAGCGGTGGGCCTCGTCAGCGAGAAGCACTCATCAGCGGGGAACAGTCATGGGAACACTGTCAGCGGTGGGAAACACTCGTCAGCAGTGGGAAACACTCGTCCAGGGTAGGAACACCTCGTCAGAGGGGGAAGCACTCTGTCAGCAGGGGGGAAGCACTCGTCATACGGGGAGAAGCACTCGTCAGCGAAGCAGTCGTCAGCGGTGGGGAAACACTCGTCAGCGGTGGGAAACATTCGTCAGCGGTGGAACCAACCTCGTCAGCGGTGAGAAGCACTCGTCAGGGTGGAAGCGATCGTCAGCTGGAAGCACTCGTCAGCTGGGGAAGCACTCGTCAGCTGCGAGGGAAGCTCTTCAGCGGGGGAAGAACTCGTCAGCGGGGAAACACTCGTCATGGTGGGCACTCGTCTGTCAGAGGAAGCACTCGTCGCTGGGGGAAGCACTCGTCAGAGAAACACTCGTCAGCGGTGGAAACTCGTCAGCAGGGGGAAGCACTGGTCAGGAAGGAAGCACTCGTCAGCTGGGGAAGCACTCGTCAGAGAGAAACACCCGTCAGCGGTGGGAAACATTCGTCATGGGGGAAGCACTCGTCAGAGGAAGCACTCGTCAGCTGGGGAAGCACTCGTCAGTTGGGGGCACACCGTCAGCGGTGGGAAACACTGTCAGCGGGGAAGCACTCGTCAGGAGGAAGCACTCGTCAGCTGGGGAACTACTCGTCGGGGCTGGGAGGAAGCACTCGTCAGCTGGAAACACTCGTGGAAACACTCGTCAGCAGTGGGAAACACTCGTCAGCGGTGGGAAACACTCGACAGCGGGGGGAAGCACTCTGTCGGGGAGTAACACTCGTCAGCTGGGGGAGAGGAAGCACTCGTCAGCTGGGAAACACTCGTCAGTTGGGGGGAAACACTCGTCAGCGGGGGAAACACTCGTTGCGGGGGAAGCACTGTCAGCGGGGGTAAGCACTCGTCAGCATGGGGGGAAACACTCGTCAGCGGGGGAAACACTCGTCAGCCAGGGGCAAACACTCTGTCAGCGGGCAAACACACTCGTCAGCGGTGGGGAACACTTGTCAGCGGGGGAAACACTCATTAAAGCACCGTCAAGGGGAAACGCTCGTTAGTGGGGGGAAGCACTCGTCAGCGGGGGGCCACTCATCAGGTTTTCATCATTAGATCTTTATAGGTAACACTGGGTCTTTATCTCAGGTGTATTATATTGTTCCACCATGTTACCGAAAAGACAATATAGTTACATCAGTTTATACAAAATGTCCGACTTTTCACTGGTAAAGTTTTTATTTATTTTTTAATAATTATACACAAAGTGAAGGAAGATCAATCACACCGACAACAATACAGAAAACAACAACAACAACAACAAGCTACACCTAAGACTCCCATATTCACGGCCCAATCCACCCTCACGGCCCGCTCACCCTCACGGCCCCTCCATTCTGCCCCGCTCACCCTCGGCCCGCTCCACACCCTCACAGCCCTCCACATTCACGGCCTCCACCCTCGCGGCCCACTCCCATATTCGGCCACTCCACCCTCACGGCCCACTCCACATTCACGGCCCACTCCACCTTACGGCCCACTCCACATTCACGGCCCGCTCCATATTCACGGCCCGCTCCACCCTCACGGCCCACTCCACCCTCACGGCCCACTCCGGCTGCTCCGTGTGAGAGCTTCCAACTCCACTTGTAGTTAAGATTCATTTGGAATATAAAACACTTTTATATCCTGCGAAAATTATAAACAAAATACTTGACATACGAATATTTTTACCTCACGAGAAGCTTATGGCTCGCGCCCTTGAACTAAGAAGTATTCATCTGAAAATATGGAAATGGAAATCGAATGAAAAATCAAATCCGTTACTGGTTGAATGTTAACTCTTTTACATTTACATTTATATTATATAATTAAGGATTCATTATCAGAGCACGTCTTGATGTTGTATATTTTGGGTAATACTTGTTGACACGTTGATGTATATATCGTGACATTGATCCTCCCCTATCTGCTGGGTTATGCCACTCAGGCCAACAAGCAACAGTGAGTCAGAACTAAAGTGATGGTGTAATGGTGAACGTTATGGTGTTGCCAGGTTTACTCCTCCACAATATATGATAACATAACTGATAAGGAAGAAGAAACATTTTGTCTTTTTTTCTGGGGGTAGTTAAAGTTCCCAAGAGCAATGACGTAAGACCAATGAGGTGTGACAGAGAGACAGGTGTTATCATTTATGAGAACAGAACTGACGGGAAATGTACACATGTAACATATGCCTTAATGAGTCATAAAATTGAAACAGTTCTTCTGCTTCATATTCAGTAAAGTTTAGTTGACTTTGTGCTGCTGTCATAAGCATTTTACTCACACGTCCTTTGTACCGGCGGCTGATATTTCAATGAACAATTCAGCATTTAAAGTGTTGTCTGGTTTCTGCAGCTCAAATTACAGGCATGTTATCCTCAAGCCACAGGAAAGCAGGTGTGGGTGTTGAGTGTGTGTGTGTGTGTGTGTGTGGTTACCAAAGTAAATTTTTATGAGGCACCCCATATTTAAATATATACAACTGTGTAGTGTTGTCAGGTCTCGCTGGAGCTTCATGCTGGAGGCGCCTCAGTATTTCAATCTTAACTCTTTTTACCTTTTACTCTGAGTGTTTTATACCACACTCACCTGACACCTCAGGCCTTTCAACTGACACCTTTCACCTGACACCTCGCACCCCATTACTTGCTTCATTGTAACAACAATAAACACAGTGAATGAGATTGACGAAAACATACAGCCCTTCTTACCTCTGTTACCACCCAAACTAACTAATATACTCTCCATTATACCTTGACATAGCGACATACTGTGCTCTGTCATACCAGTTTTTAATTACTCTCAGTTTTCAGTGGTACAGTCGCCTCTCCTCCTGAACCACGAACCCCGAGATTCAGACTCGTGAATCCGAATCATTTATGGACAGAATAATGCATCAGTGTCGGGTTCATGAGTCCGAATCTCGGGGTTCATGGTTCATCACCTGCAGCAAAGACAATTATGAAAAAATTACCTGACACCTAACACACCTAGCATGTACACCTAACCTAACCAGACCTGACCTGACCTGACCTGACCTGACCTAACCTAACCTAACCTAACCTAACCGCTAACGCCTGCTGCTGTGATGTGCTCTCTTTCCAGCCGTAAGCCTTAAGTTTTCAGTTCCTTTTTCTTTTCCATTCATGTCATCCCATTTGTTGCATAAAAACCACGACCAGCTTAATCCTTTTCTCCATTTTTGGATGGACGTCTGAGTCGGGATTATCTCTCCTGTTCAGTGTGAAGATGTTCAATGTCACACATCAAACAGAACTTTCCTGTACTGAGAACACACGAGCAACGATGAGCGACTCCTGGTAAGAGATCACAGAGCGCAAGGTGAAACTATGGGCAAGTTTCTTTACGCCATTTGCCTCTGTCTACCCATCAGTAATTGGGAACCTGGATGTTAATCGATTTGCCGATCGTGTTCCCAGGGTAATGGTTAGCCAGAGCAGTTGGCGTTGTCCGGTCTTTTCGAATTATTCCTTGCCACTGGGTCATGCAACTCGTTAACTTAGGGTGTGGTTGTTGTGTTGGCGACAGCTTCTGCACCTTAAGCAAATTCACGCCTACTGTAGGTGGCCCTTGGGCCGGCCATCCTCGCTACACACGAGGGGCAACCATTATACAGACCGATATTGGTTTCAAGAAAAGCTTTAGTCGTCGTAAATCTGCTAGTATAAGCTGTCCCACCCAACGGTGACATTACCTCGACACAACCTCCTGTTTATACTTGAGAAACAATGATACCGCAGTCCAAGACCAGAGGTTAATAATGTATCTTGGAAGGTTGACACAAAATCTGTTAGGGAGAAGGAGGAAGACATCACAGGACCAGTGACCCAGACTGTGAACAAGTGACTTATGTCTGGTCCACCTGATTCAACACCTCACGAGAAAGAATCTAGACAACATCAAAGTGTTCCTCAGTCTATTAATTAACATTGAATATAAAAACATAAGTTTACAATGTCTAAGATAAAATGTTGACAAAGAAGAAGGATACACCAAACTTTAGAAAAGTCCAGTGTTTTAATTACCTACTGAGCAACACTCT